TACTGTATTGAATATACTATCAATTTGAATATTGCATAGGATATAACATTTTTTTCTCTGAGAAAAAGCCCAGGTAAGTCGGGAGTGACAGTGAGAGAGGTCCTTGGAGGTGCTGGAAATGACAAAACTCGAGATTACTCCAGCAGGGTCCAACTCAAGAGGATTGTAAACCCAAACGTTCTGCTAGAAGAAGCTGAAAGCACAGGCGCGGGGACGCGGGGCCTCTGGGTTCCATGCTAAGGTCAACCGTGGGTAAAAGGACAGGGCACTAAAACCAATCTTTAATGCAGCAAGTAAGATCTCTGACAATTCAAACAACCAGAATATTAACACTGAAAGACACAGACGAGACGTGGAGCCGCTGAAGATAGTTTCCATTCTGTGCTAAAACCCCTGCAGTTCTCTTCATATCAGAACTCCTCAGACCCTATTGGAGTCTGCTGAGAAGGCTTACGGTGAGAACAAATTTGGGTTTGGGATGCAGCAAATTCGAGGTTGCAGAGTAAATGAAGGATGGACGGGTGGGACACTGATATCACCGATCACACACAGGTTTAGGAAATCCACTTTGAATATTTTGTTGGATTTTTAAAAATCACAATTGTCTTGTTTGAGTGTATCATGAGAAGACAGATTAAAAAAGGTTTATTGGGTGCTCACTTTACAAGTTATATAAATGTCTAATCATGGGATTGTACACCTGAAACTAATATAATATTGTATGTCAACTGTAATTTTAAACTAAGAAATGTTTTTTAAAAATCCCATCCCTGCGTTCAATAATCTCAATTTCTTGGTGAAGGTGGGGATAAGAAAATAAAATAACATACATGAGGCAAATAGAGAAATATAAGGATAAAGTTTGTTTTTTCTTTTTTAATCTATATTTTGCCTTTTCCCAATAAAGTATATGATATAATAAAATAAAATATTTTGGTAAAATAGCACTTTAAAAAGTGAGGAAATTGGAGTGNAGTTTGTTTTTTCTTTTTTAATCTATATTTTGCCTTTTCCCAATAAAGTACATGATATAATAAAATAAAATATTTTGGTAAAATAGCACTTTAAAAGTGAGGAAATTGGAGCAAAACAAAGAAGGGGTTGAACCCAGGCAGTACATCTTCCAAGAAACATAATTAAATTAAATAGATATTGCTGCTAATTTTCCTAAGCCATTAGGCCATTAAGCAAATAACAGCTTAAATTTTTAAAATATTGATGATTCCTGCTTGTTATAGATGGGTCTATGCCAGTGATTTATTACAAAATAAGCAAATATTAACCAAGCTCACAAAATGTACAAATATTTATTAGCAGACAGGCACCAAAGCAGTCAGAGAACCTGGTTTTGTAACACGGGGCATTTCCATTCCTGTCCTACCGTCCACTCTGAGGCGGAGGGAGGCAGGTGTGGATGACAGGAGGAGCCAGTGCTGTGGCTGGTCAGATGGCAGGAGGCTCCGCGAGGTGGAAGGACACAAAACTGATGAGACTGGACAGCAAGCTCTTCACAGGAGCTTCAGACCCCTGGGTCTGCCATATTCTTGCACATGTGGAAGTGCAGTGGGGTTGTACCCATCGCCTAAGCAATCACTAGTCTCAAAACCACTAATTCACCGATGAAAAATTACTTCTACCCCTTATGCTAATTACCAAGCCTTCGGATATGGATTTCGATAATGATACCTGAAGCACTAAGTAACCATCCCTGGAGGGTCAATTTCTGATTAGAATTCTTCAAACACTAACCACTCCTAGGGAATCAATTAGAATGAACTTGTACATGTGTTGATCAAGCACCTTCTAGTGAAGTGATTTTGAAGTGAATTATCTCACAGACATGATAACAGACGTCATAATGAAGAAGCAGATCGATATATTTTATTTTAAGGTCTCTGAGTCATTTTTTATTTTTTTTACTAGAAGGGAAGATGGAGGAAGAATAATTTCTACTGACTTAAATGTATGGTACAAAAGAAAGCCAGGAAACACCACTGTGGCATGAATAGAAGCCTCAGAAGCAAATAGGGAGAAAAAAAAATAATGCTTAGGATGAGTTCCAAAGGAGAGAATGATTACGCTTCCCCAAGCTTACCTGAAGAGTCGTTTGTGGTGCATGGGCCACAAGGTTTCTGGGGAAATTAAAAAGCAACAAGAAGCACATGGCCTCTGCCACTGAGCCGGGAACCGTGGCTGATGTCAACAGCACTTAGGTCCACAACTTCAGAAGCTGTAGAACCAGGCGTGCTTTTGCTTTGATTACCTTTGAGATTTCTCTAGTGGCTCAGCAGAGCTACAGTCTCTTCATTCAGGCTGCTTCCAACTCAGGCTTAAATTTTATTATGGTGAAAAGTAATTTGTATTAATAATTAACCAAATAATTGGAAAAAGAAATTAATGACTTTCATGGGGGAAAAAATAGTACAGCTCTTCAGGCTAAGTTCGTTTGTCTACTAGGTATTATGGGCTGAACGGTGTTCCCCTAAAGTTTATATGCTGAAATCCTAACCACTAAGTACCTCAGACTCTGACTGTACTTGGAGATAAGTTCCTTACAGAGGTAATTAAGTTGAAATGAGGTTGCCAGGCTCTGGCCGACATGCCTCTGTTGGTTGAGCTACATCCCAGGCACCAAAAGGTCGCTGGTTTAATTCCTAGTCAGGGCACATGCCAGGGTTGCTGGCTCTGTCCCCAGAAGGAGTGTGAAGGAGGCAGCCGATTGGTGTTTCTCTCACATCTATGTTTCTCTCAAATCAATAAAAACATACATAAAAATCTTTTTTTGAGATGGTCAGGATGGACATAAATTTAATATGACTGGTGTCCTTGTAAGAGGAAATTGGACATAGACTCATAAGAAGGAAGCCCATGGAAAGATACTGGGGGAAGACGGACAAGGGGAGAGGCTCGAAGAAACCAACTCTGCCAACACCTTCCTCTTGGACCTCCAGCCTCCAGAGCTGTGAGGAAATAAATGTCTGTTGTTGAAGCCACCCAGTCTGTGATACTTTGCATGGGAGCCTGAGCAAACTAATACACCAGGACTTTCTAAGAAGGGAGCGGGGTCTTATGATTTGTAAAAATGATTCCTTGTTTAGCAGCTGAACACCTGCGTCAGTGACGGTTCGGGGGAAGCAGGTGGAAGTAAGGAGAGTTTAATGGGTCATTCACAAAGGAGCTCAGGGGTGGTCCTGGACTCTGGGTCTGGCAACAGATGGGGGGGGCCAATCAGCAAGCACAACGGCAGCCTCAGTTACCAGGCGAATTTAAGGTGAGTTATGGTGCTGGTCAGTCTTGCTTGAGGACAAGTTCTCATTTACCTTGTGAACATGCATGCAATGGGCTGTATCTGCCTGCCTATATAAAAAGGTGAGATTTTTGTCTTTGCAATTTCTTTATGGGCTGCCTGAGATGCACGTGTCATTCGGACTTAATGCTTATTCAATAATAAAATTGTTTTCTTTCCCTTCTACCTTTGTGTAGTTTTCCTAGGTGGGTAGATTTTTGTTCTTGATCGCATTTCCATTCACAAGAGCAACCAGTTAAAGAAAATAAACGCAGGAGGTATAGTTAAAAGGTCAGTAGGGGAGCTACAGTGCAATCCTAGCATACGCCACACACAAAGGCAGGCAGGCAAGGAGCGGAGAAATGAAGAACCGATGGGACCAAGAGAAAACAAATACCAAGAAGGCAGGCTTAAACTCATCCATGTGAGAACTGCTGCAAGATTAAAATCTTCTGTTTAATGTCAGACATTATTAAAATGGTAAGAAAGCAAGACCTGACTATATATTTACAAGAAACACATTATAAAGGCACAGGCAGGTTGAGAATGATCAGCTGTACTGTGCAGACACGAAGCATAAGAAGCTGGTATAGCAACATTAATGTTTAAGCAAAGAAGATGTCAACACAAAGAATATAACCAGAAATAGAGACATAATTTATCAATATGTCATTAAAAAGGTTATTTTTTGGGGGGAGGGGATATAATATTTCTAAATGTGTTTGTACCTAATAACACGTATAACAAGTTTCAAAATATAGGAAGGAGTAGAATTAAAAGGGAAATGGGCAAAGCCACAATCAGTTGGGGATTTTTAACATCCCTCTTTAATAAAAGTAGACAAAAAAAATCAGTAATGATAGAGAGGAACTGAACTACACTAAAATAGTGNTTAACATCCCTCTTTAATAAAAGTAGACAAAAAAAATCAGTAATGATAGAGAGGAACTGAACTACTCTAAAATACTGAAACCACGGAATTTTGGTACGTTAAAGAGGTTTTAATGATCTGGAAGTTGTTATTTGAAGCAAATCTTCATGCTTTAGGGTGTCCTGATGTGCCAGCATTGTAAAATATTTATTAACGTGACATTATAGTATAGGCAGAACCTCTGGCCTCCTCCCGACTGTAAACTGTAACAACTAAAACAGCCTCTCAACGCTGGTTGTATTTCACAGCTTCATCTTTCGGGGTCAGACGTGCAGCTCTCTTCAGTCTCCTCCTGTTAGTTTCTGGACAGAAAGCTAACTTCAGTCCCTCAGGAACGACGCTGCGGACGCGGCAAACAGGAGAGTGCCCAGTTACACTGGAATTTCAGATCGCAGCTGATTCTTTGCTAAGGGACATATTTACACTATAAAAACTATTCATTATTGATCTGAAACTCAAATTTAACCCTTTGCGGTCGTATTAAATTTGGACAGGGGTGTCATACTGGTCGGATATGAACTGATACATGAATGAATAAAGGTTCGTACGGTTCCTTGCTGTGGTGGCTGAGAGCAGACAAACGACCGCAGAGGGTTAACTGGGCCTTCTCCTGTCCTCAGGAAGGGAAATAGCTCTTCCAAGGAGGCTGACTGAGCCGGATGGAAGCTGTTATAATTGAAACACCAAACAAGGACCTGCCTTCAGGCTGCTGTCTCCTCCTCTAACCTCCAGCTCCATTCCCTGTAAAATATGACGGAGCAATAAAAACATATGGGCAAGAAGTTGCTCTAAAGGTCATTTTTTTATTTAAATATTTTGTTGATATACATACAAATATAGTCTCCCAAGGAACAAATGTAAAAACTAATACAAATCACCCGTTTGGGAACAAACAAAAGCATTTAGAAAATGTGATTACTCTACACACACGTGACAGGTTAGGGCTTCCAAGCCTGCCCAAGGAGGAAGTTTAAGACCAAGTTGTGTTTGTTCAAAGCAGTTAGATCATTTTTAAATGTCACACAGTAGTGGTATTCCTGTTGCATACTTGGCAAAATATAGCAACTATGTCTATGATGAAAAAAAAAAAAGCAACGACACAAGTAGAGAGTAAAACATTTAGTCAGTGGGAACAAACAGTATCAGTCCTTTGCATAACACAATTCAACAATACTTCTTCTATAAATGTGCTACAAAAATAAATTTTTTAAAGATTCATTTCCCTAAGCAAAATAACTTGAGAAATCACAAAATTACACAGTATGTAAAACTTATGAAAATTTTTTGTTGTGAATATTTATATAAATTGTTACTAAAATACACATATACTTTGAAACTTGAAATGGATTCTTTTCCCAAAGAGCAATAAAAATAATCTATTTATTTAGTCAAAATACCCAAATCGCTTTTCAAAACAGGGCAAGGATGCTATACAAATTCCTATTAATTACATATTTAATATGTAGTAAGTCATGGCCAACTAGTCAATGACTTTGAGACACAGAATAAAATACTAACTTCAAACTCGTAATTATAGAAATTACAAGGTGTTTCAATGTTTTGAAATGGTAAGTTAAAGAGAGTGGCTTCTAAAATCCAGCTTAATGCCACAAATATTGATTTGGAACCCATGTTAGGCACTGAGGATGAATAACAGCATTGAAATAGCCCTGGTTCTTTCCACAGGCGTAGTCTCATGGTTAATTTAGCTGTACAAAATTAGAAGATAATATAGCCTGAGGTTTTATAAATAGTATATTATTACTATAAAAAGGAAAGTGATTTTATATTTATGAATTTTTCCCTGGGTTATTCAACTGAATTGGAAGTATTCAATATTTCCATGATTATTGAGAGACAAAGGGAAGGTATAATGCTATTTTTAAGGTCATACAACACACACACAATCATATACATACAGTTTTTATGCACCAAAACGTGTGTTTTTACCATGTCAATGCTACTCAATTCAGTCACCCTAACACAGATTGGAAGGCCTCTGGTCTTAAGGAAAACCAACAAAACTGGTCACTGGACTACGTATGCACCTTTGGATAAATGCGTGTGGATAACCTGCCGGGTGCAGTGAAGCACGGACTAGAGAACAGCAATGTTAAATGTTAACAACGTGCCACGCAGAGGCAGGGCCGTTTCATGGATGGCTCTACTGCAGGGCTGATGAACTGGATACTCTGTGTTAATTTGGTAAATTCTCAGAAGCCAGATTTACTCTGTTTAACTTGGTTTGTGAATATTGTTTGGCCACAACTCACTAAAAGGCACGTAATATACAGCATCATGCTTATGCCCTCAGGAAATCCCAGAGCATCTCTGAAGGGCACCCCTGGGCCCTGGGACAGCAAGGTCCGCCGTCTATTATTAAGATTTAAATTTTGTGTATGTGCCTCTTCCGCCGTGAAGCTGAAGGGCAGGCCCACTGCAAACCCGACAGCGGTGACCGCTGGTGAGACCCTGGGTGGGGCTGTGGCGGCTGTTCAGGCGTAAGCATGCTGCACTGTGCTGCGCTTGGTCACCCTGGTGGACGACGTGGCGACCGTGGAACTAGAATGACCAGACTCCTCCGAACCGAAATCCGGCAGAGGGCCGGGGACGCCAGCTCCAGAAACCACCGTCTTTCTGGCCGTCATGGACCTCCCCGAAGGAGCTGGGTAACCGGACTGCAGAGTGGAAGCGGGTGTGAGCACCCTCTCTGTCACTGTCACGTTCTGTCCTGCCCCTGCACTGGGCTTGGGCACAGCGGGCTGCGCACCCGAGCTGGGGGCAAGGAAGCTCTCTCTCTCCCTCACCATAACGTAGTGTCCCTCTGGCAGGTGCGGAGCGCCCTCCAGAGGACCAGACAGGCCCCCGTTGGGCTGCAGGACTCTCTCGGTAACCGTGACGTTACCTTCACTAGCATAATGCCCATCTACCACGGCGGGAGCTGGAGCATACACCCGCTCCGTCACGATAAGGCCCTGCGGCTGTCTGGGGCCCAGGATCACCGTGCCCGGTGGCGGCACAGTGGAGCCTGTGGCAAAGGACGTTTCCGTCACTATGACATTTCCAGACGCCAATGGATTAGGGAGCCGTGTAGCTACCTTTTGACCCTGCTTAGAAGACACAGACCTTTCCGTGACTATTTCCTGAGTTATTTCCTCTGCATTTGCTTCATGCAAAGGTTTTGGAACTTGAAAGCTACTACCAGAGGAGAAGGTAGTCTCTGAATTAACCCTGGTTTGCTCGGAGAATGAATGTGAAGCTGTTTCTCTCTTAGGTTTTGGTCTCTGCTCAATTTCCATATCCATATCTACTGTTCGACCCAAGCAAACTTCAGCTAGTGTCTTGAATTTAAACCCTAAATCATCCAAGAAGTGGTCATCTAGCTCTCCTTCAATAAAACTGCAACAACCAATGGAACCATGGAGAGATTCAGTTTCTTCCTGAGAATAAACCAGAAGGCAATCTTTGGCTATGTGACTGTCATCTTCCTCAGTATAACAGGAAAGTTTCTAAAATGGAAATAAACACAGAGGCATATAATTAGTGACACAACTTCATTTAAGAACAAGACTATGTTTCTGCCCAAAATGCATAACCTGAGTCTAACTGCAAGGAAACATCAGAGAAACCCAAATTAAAGGACATCCTAGAACACAACTGGCCAGTATCTTTAGAAAATAGAAATATTGTGAAAGGTGAGAAAGGCAGAGGGGACTGTTCCTGATTAAAATGTCATGACAACTAAATGGAAGGCAGGACTTTGGATTGGGTTCTGGACGGAAAAACAATGGCTATAAAAGACATCATTGTGATAACTGGCTAAACAGAAATTTGTGATGTGTCACTGTTAAGTCTCTGAATTTGTTTGCTGTGGTAATGTAAGAGAATATGCGAGTGCGTGTGTGTGTGTATGAGAAATAGAGGGAGAAAGGGGGAGAGAGAGAGAGAATGGGACGAATGTGGCTAAGTGTTAATAATTGGGTAATCTAGATAAAGGGTATACAGAAGCTCAAAATTTCTATTATTCCTGCAAATTTTCTGTTAAGTTTGAAATGTTTTCTGAATTAAAAGTTGCATACATATATATATAACCAAGACTGACTAGAGCAGGATTAGAGCAGAGAGGAAAAAAAATATCAAAATAAAACAGGGCACCAGAACGGAGCTTGGCAGTGAAACAGAAAAGGGCAATATGAGAAGTGGTTTTCCTTGACACTGACACATCCCTTTTTCCCCGGCAAGCTGATACTTGGGGTGGGGGGCAGATGATATGAAAGGAGAGCAGAAGGAAAGAGAAAGTGGGAAAGCACCCCAGTAATTTGTAACCATTAAGAAGAGAGGGGACAGAAATAAATTGGCCTCCATGGAAGCCCATTGCCTTACTCTCTCAAGTGTCCTTCAGATGCCTGACACTCTGACTCTGCCCATGGGACACATGGGCTTCATTCTCAAGAAAGGCGCCCAGTCCAGCTTCTAATTCTCATTTCAGACATGAGCTTCCTCACTGTATCTGATCATCTTTCCTGCAACTTTCCTCCTAATCTTTTGCGAATTACCTCAGTAGTGAAGCCAACTACTCTCATTCAGAAGACAAAATTTAAATGGACATCATAGATTGTGTGTTTCAGGTCAGGTACTCTCCAGTCTGCTCCTGCAGAGGGACTATACTTTCTGACCCACTGAGATCTGGCTTGGTATGTGACTCACTGTGGCCAATAAAATCTGAGGGCAAAAAGGGCAGAGGCTTTAAGAGCCATCGACTGGTTCTGCATTGCTATATGCGCCCCCAAAACGGCAGCTTCCCAGGTACAATCTGCTCTTGGCATCTTGGAATGAAGACAACATGGGGAAGAGCAGAGATACATTAACTGGCAAAAACATATATGTAAGAAATGGCCTTCGTGAGGAGTAAGACTGTGGGGTCATTTGTGATCACCATATAATTTAGTTGACTGACTGGTTCAATGGGTCGTGTCTCCCTTCCCTCATTACCTGTAAACATTCTTAAAAAAACAAAAAAACTCCCCCAAAATCCCATCTAGATCCAAGGCAACAATTACCCTAATAATGCCATATTCACATACAAATGTTTTCTCTCCCGCACCTAAAAACCAACCCTTACCTCAGTGAAATAACTTCTTAAGAATTCTTCATTCACCGCGGTAGCAGCTGCTCGAGCTCCGGCCATGTCTCTGAAAGTCCCCGTGTCTCTTGTGGTCCTTATGGTTTCACTGCCTACGATGGCTCCTGTTGTCCCTATAACCTGGGTGGCCCCCCCAGAAAGATGGCTTCTGTGTTCTTCCCATCTTCCGTCCACTTCGGACATGTCATGCTGCGCTCTGGTAAAGGACGCAGAGCTGCTTCCTTTCACGGTGGTTTCCCTGACTGCTGCACCTCCTGCTCCACTGCCCACCGCCACACTGTCGCCACGATCCGCCGTCAGAAGCGACGGCACCACCTGGGAGGGCAAACACGGTTGGGAGCTGAGTCAGAAGGATGAAGGATCCGTATGGATGGTAGGATCTGAGCTAAGTGGGCATAAACTATTTCCGCAGAAACAAATTAGGAAAAATATTTTATGTTGAATAACTCTGAGTCTTCTGAAGGGCTCCATTCTACCTTCTTGTTTTGTTAGATGATTATAATCCAAGGAGAAAACAAAAGTTATTTAAATATAGTCTCGGCTCATTTACTCTATTGGCATCAACTGCAATCCAACTTTCCTCTAGAGTTTAATGCCTTCTTTATGGCCATAGAATCGTTACTTTTTGTCTAACTGGACACACGGTTATCCCAAATATAGACTGTAGTTTTAAGGCTCCATTGCTACTAGAAATTGCCACCGGACTAAATTCTGGTTCATGTGATTTCAAGTAGAAATGGAGTATGCATCTTTTGGGAAGCGTTCTTCAAGAGCGGTTCTTCACTTCTCTCCTATCTGCTTTTGGGAATGGAACTCATCTACGGAGGAACAAGGGAAAAGGAGCCTGTGGCCACATGGAGTCATCATGTTGGTCCTGGACCACCCACATTTATATCTAAGCCACTGTTACGCTGAGTTCTCTGACACTTGATGCTAAATCATATCCTATTAGACATGACGCTCACTGCAGGTGGTGATGAGAGACCCAGGGTGAAGACGCAATAAAGAGACGATGGGAGATGGTTGTTATGTAGGTAGAGGAGGAGATTTTAAAATCTTTCACAACTGTTATGGGGTGGTGGGCACCTGGTTGAGGTAAAGTCCCCATTTAATATTGGTAGTAATAAAAATTTTCATTCTAAATCTCCACACACTCTTGCTCTCTCTAACCTTTGTTCTATATTCCCTGTGCCACTACCTGACGCGTTTTCTACATTCTCTGTAACACAGGACTTGTCACAGTAGAGCAGGGGTGAGGAACCGTTTTTTGCCAAGGGCCATTTAGATATTTATAACATCATTCTCTGGCCATACATATAAGATTATTAACTTAAAAATTAGCTATGAGAAAAGCTCCTAGATTTATTGAATTTCGAGTCCTGCCTGCAGTTGCCTTGGCAGGGCCAGAGCAAATGGTTTTGAGGGCCATATGTGGCCCGTGGGCCAGACATTCCCCTCCTCCCGTTTTAGAGCAAAACAACCTCAACGCTGCCCTGGCAATAAACACAAAATATGTTTCATTCAAAGGCATGTGAATGAAATCTGTAAGGACCACTTTACTTTCTCATGACCTATAATGGTAGAAACACTTCCCAAGGACCCTTTAAAATCAGAAAAGAAGGCAGGTTCCATGGATATCTGATTATCTGACCTTGTCTTCAGGTGGGGCCCCTTCATTATTCCAAGGATGCAGCATCTCTACAGTGCCAGGAATGGGGGCAAAGCCTTTGGCTCTGTCTCCACAATGGCACATCAGCAGTAAAAGTGGTACAACTGGGCAGAAACAAAATTAAAAACAAAAAAGGTTAGTCCCAACTTATTTTTAAATTGGTGTTATATAATTTTGGAATTTGCATGTATCACTTCTTGCAGCTCAGTCTTTACTTATTTACAACCTTATTTTTTATTTTCCTTTTCTTCAGCCCCATCCAACCTCACCAAACTCGTCTTGGGAGAGTCATACCAAAGTCTACAGGCAGAATGAGGGAGTCCTACAGATTCGGAGGCCTCACTCGTCATAAAGAGGCTGTGTCTGGTTCTGAGTAGAACACTGAGACTGAATTCGATAGTATTTAAATCATCAAAACCAACTTAAAGACTTACATTTTTTTAAACCACTTTAATTTTTAATATGAGAATATTCACTAACAAAAAAAAAATGTGTTAAAAGAATCAAAAGCTTCTAAGGGTTGAAACATTTTCACATGTTCAAATATTCTAGAACATTGAAACTTCTAGAATACTTCACCACTTCCTCCTAGAGTAGAATTTGGCAAAAGGTAGACTCACTGAGGTTCAAATTAACCTTTGAATTACCTGAGTACTATTTTCTAAAACAATTCTACATTGAAACTCTTAAAATAGATCTAGAACTCAATACAGAGCTCTCTCCTTAAATTTTATTCTACCTCCATCCAGGAGGAGATGAAGGCCAATGTTGGCCTCTTAATCAAAGTAGTAAAGAATTAACTACAACTTGCAAGCTGTCCACCCCAAATTAGGTTTAATTGCCACTCCCATTTGGCATCTTCGGATGATGAATTGCCTACTCGCTAGACTTTTTTTTAAATGTAAAATAGCTGACAGCACAGTCACCATAGCTACTGTAATTCAAAGATTGAAATCGGCCAGTGGCAAATTCAACATTTGTACAAATTCAACAAATATTTATCAAGCGTGTACCATGTGCCAAGTGTCACAAAGGCCCCAGGGAATGTGAGATGAGAAGGCAGTGCAGGGAATCCCCATTTAAAAGCTGTAGTCCCAGCTCCAGTACGTCCCGACAAACTTGGGAAACTGAGACAAGTCATTTATGGTTAAGGGTCTGTATCCTAAAGCAGGGATGATAGTATAAAAGTGCATTCAATGGTACATCTACTGATGGCTCTGACAAGCTCTTCCTCTGTCACTGAAATAGCCGGGGCTGCCTCAGAGCCAGTTCTCTGCCCACATTCAGTGGTCAAGTGCAGTAGTATTCCACATGACCCCAGGCTGCAGTCCTTTGTTCTTTTAAGAAAGGAAATCTGGGGTCTTTGTAGAATAGGCAAGGAAGGTCGGACTGGTGGTAACTGTCAGGAAGCACAGAAGTGCTCAGAGGTCTCACTCTGTTGGCTCAGGTGACAGGGCAACCCAAACAAAGGGTATGGGTAGGTGGGGCTCTGACAAGTTGAATGGGAAAAGGAAAGATCAATGAGAATAAGATGAGTTTATAAAATAACCTGGTATCCATTATCCAAATTCATGCAATAAATCCCTTCTGAGAACCTCCTGTGGGCAAAGCACTGTTCTCAGCACTGGGCAGAGAAGAGAAAGCATCCCTCCCTCACAGAGCTTATCAAAATGGGGACACCAAGTAAGTGAAATAAGCCACTCAGTGAAAGACAGATACTACATGATTTCACTTATATGTGGACTCTAAAGAGCAATATCATTGAATAATCAAAATAGAAACAGACTCACAGACACAGAGGACAGACTGATGGCTGCCAGAGGGAAGGGAGGCTGGGGAGTGGGGTAGAAAAGGAGAAGGGATGGAGAAGCGCAGATGGTAGTTATGAAACAGTCCTGGGGACGTAAAGTGAACAGTACTGAAATAACTATGTCTGGTGCCAGGTGGGTACTGGAAATATCAGGGGGAGCACCTGTCAAGTATGATCGTCTAACCACTATTCTGTACACCTGAAATGAATACAAAATAATATTGAATGTAAACTGTAATTTAAACATTTTAAAAATAAATTTTTTTTTAAAAAAATGGGGACACCAACAAGGTCTATGTTCAAAGGCTGCTGAAGATCATGCAAGATAGCCTAGGTTATTTAAATCAGGAAATGATACCTTTGTTCACAACAAAGTTCTGAGGCATGTTATAATCATCTTTGATGAGTTTATCAACGATCAACTCTTGTTTCCCTACTCACCCTCAAGTGCTCTAGTTGGAATAACTGTACAGAAATCAGTGACTACTATGGTAACAAAACGCTAGTAGTGCCCTTAATTACTGAAAGAGCCAAAGAGTGGCTTTGAAAATACTCACGTAGCAAGAGCAGAAAAGCAAAAATGATTAGCGCGATCGCTGCCGGTCCCAGGCCAACATAGGTGCCACGCAGTGTTTCCACACAGCCACTGCCATCCAGGCATTTGCAAACTGTGAGTGTAAGGACCTGCTTTTCAGGGCAACTGAAGCCTTGATGATCTGAAATCAGGAACTGAATTTCACTTCTCCCAAGCTTCTGTTCACTTTGTTGCAGTAGCACACTAGTACCTATAATGGTAGGAGGCAAAATGAAATAGAAATGAGTGATTACCAAGGGAGGGGCAAGATTAAATTATGGAAACATTCTTTAATGGCTAATAATACTTAGCTCCAGTTAGAAGCTTTATTCTTCCTTAATGGTTCTATTTTTTTTTTTTTTTTTCCTTTTTGGGAGAGGGGAGGTTAAATTACCCACTTTTGGAGACACCCCAAAGATGGCCTGGCATTTTGGTACGGAAAAGATTTGGTCCAATCTCTCACTGGCTTAGGACACCAAAAGGCGCATAGAGTTGGCTCACGTGTTCTGGGCTGGGGCAGCGGGTGAACAGGGAGGTGATCTGGGACAGATGGACAAAGCACAGGGGTGGGCTCAAGTTCTTGTGGACAGCTGGTCCTGGGTGGATGCTGGGGCAGCCAAAGGCGGTAGCCTTCGCCTGCGCAGTCGACCAGCTCACTGCTCTGGAGCCACAGCTGAACAAGTGTGTGCGGTTTGCCAAATGCAAGGAACTGTTCTATGTACTGGGAATATAGTGACAAACAAGTGGTGGGTTAAATGACATTTCCACGGAATGACCTTTATTTTATCAGTTCGTAAAAAAAATTATCATAGCAATTTCAAACAGGTAATAACAGAGAGAATAGCATAATTTATCCCCACGGTACCCAGCACCGGCTTTAACATTATTGAAAGCCTTTTAAAGTGATTGTAAAAATTTGTTAGACTTAAAAATTTTAACAATAAATCTGTAAGTTAAGAAAAACTCGGGTACTGTATTTAAAAACTTTTTGTAAATGAACACTAATTGTTTAGAAAACAATAACCTTCTGGATAGGTTTTTGAACATTCAAAATCACCCTGAAGGGCACACAAAAGTTCACATCAAAAAGGCGGGTATGTCCAAGATATGGCTATAAGCACACGCCGTCTGGCATGGAGGAGTCAGAGAGACCCTTTTAATATTGTGTCTATCAGTCAGCCACTTCGTGACCTTGAACAAGCTATTTCTCTCTCGTTAAGTCAAGGTTTCCTCCGTTAGAATGAGGGAATAATGTCATGGAGTAAGGACTCAATGCGATAAGCCATATGAAGGGCCAGCAGAGTGCCTGGCACACAGTAAGTGATCAATAAATGCTATTTTCAATGAAATTGCTACCATACTTCAAGATTTTTAGACGGCACTTACTCTGATTGTTTGCTTAGAGAGGGGAGGCACTCCTCAGCTTATGCGACAAAACAACATCTTCAAGAGCAATTTAGAGAATACCTGGCTACTACTAAGACCTTAGGTTATTTTGCTTCTCTCCCTCTTGTTGTTCCAAAGGCAATATTTATTATAGCCAGATAAAAAAACACTATGCTCATGGTTCAAAACCTCCTTTTATAAACCCCTTTGAAACACTGTATTGGAAATATGATTTATAAAACCCCCCCCCATATTCTAAAGATTTTAGATTTGTCATGTTTAATATTTAAATGTGTAGTCCAATGATTGGGCTTACTTTCTTTGCGCACTATTTTCCATTTTTCTGCCATTCCAGTTGGTTTGTCAATGATGACAAAGGTGAAAGGGTCACTGTTTGGGTAGCCATCCAGGTCCTTGGCAGTCACGTTCACATACTGCACATCGTCACAGATATTCTGCACTGGGTTGACCAGGGTGGGGCAGTTGTCATTGATGTCTTCAACTGTGATCACAACAGTGCCCGTGATGGTTTTCCTAGGAGAATCTTAAAGATAAGAAAGAAAAAAAATATATATATATATTCTGGTTATATTGCTGATACCAAACATAGTTTGGTAAGGAGAAGGTACTAACAAATTAGGACACTTCTAATTCTAGATATTTTTCATATTCAGATCAAATAATATCTTTTAATCCATTAAATAAGTAGAAATGTGAAAGTTTCTCCACTGGAAAGATTTGATTTTCCTATAAGACCAAAAGGAAAGTCTCTGATGTTGGAAAATAATATCAAACTACATATAGCCAAGAAAAATAGCTATTTAATAACTTACCTTCTGATACAGCTAAAATCTTTACAGTGTATGTACCATTTTGGACATATCTGGATTCAAAATCAGGAATTTTTACAAGCTTAATCTCAGATGTGACAGAATTCACAGAGACCCAGCTGTCTATATCTTCTAATTTGGTGTATCTGTTAAAAAACAAACACAAAACTAATTGAGAATTCTGGATAACTTGTGAATCTCTAATATGTACAACTCTTTCAAGTTTAAGGTTTGCTTCATTGTATATATTCTTGGTACAGGCATTAGTTTGAAATGTTTTTAATTTCTTGAAACTATCGTAAAAGCCCCTCTCTTTACTGCATATCACACTTATTTCGGAACCTTTCTTAATCCTGTAACATACTTAAGACATAAATGCAAGGGGTATCCCTTAACTAGGCCAGGAGGTTCCCAAGTTGCTCCACAATCTGTCTTACAGCTTTCAATCTTGTCTCCCTGAAATTTGGGGTAAACCTTGGGAGAATAATTTAGTTACCCAACAAGAACGGGTGGAGAAAAGTAGTCTTATGTTCTATTGTTCATTGGCATGTTATCAATACTTAAAAGTATCAATTTTAAAAATCAATGACTGCCTTAAATGGAAGTACTTTAACATTTTGGAATATTGTTGATTATTAAGAGCAGTAAGGTTCTCTCAGTGAGAAATGGATCAGTGAAAACCATGCTGATGAAGTGATTTCTGGATGTCTTCCCTCAAAGCAAGGGGAATTAGTGTGGAAAGAGAGAACTCTGGGAAAGGTAAGGAGAACTTTCAAATTACGTCTTCAGAAATGTATGTAACTTAATATCATCAAGTTTCAATAGAATCGGATCCAAAGATAAACCGAACATATGAATAGTTGTTTCAATCAACCAGATTAAGAGTTTATTTTCTACTAAGGGGCTGTTTAGGCACATAGGAATGAGTGGCTAATTTACAGTAATATTTGTTTATAGTGCTATTTGAAAAATTCCAATTATACACTTTAACTAAATTTTCAGAGTTTTAACATTTCTACAAGTAACTGATAAAACATTTAGATTTTCGTGAGTACTTCGGAATTTCATGTCTGGAATTTTAAAGCCTGGACTTAGTTGCTGTAAATAGTTTCCCACATTCACACTTATAATAATACAGGCAGAGTCACAGTAATAAGGATCACGTTTCACATGTATGTGATCTCATTTAAGGTCTTTTCTGTTCTTCTCTGTGGTAAAAATTAGACACCACTTAAAGGAGGCCGGCAGCTCCCACGCTATGCCAGATATCTATAAACAATGGATGCATGTGAATAATCAGAACAACAGTAAATGATGACAGAGTTACAGAAACAATTCTTCCGCTGTCCTTGGCAGCATTTCTAAATAGCAACCACTATTTAGTTAGGGAAACGTGAGAAAATTAATTCAACTTGGCTGTGCATCTCTTTCCTCATCTGTAAAACAGTCGGTCTGAACTGATCTTTAAGATCTTTCTCCTTTTGGTGTTCTGTAATTTCATGCTAAAGAATAAAAGAAACTGGATAAAGGGGATCAATGGGGGGAAAAGAGGGACATCTGTAATACTTTCAACAGTAAAGATAAATTTAAGAGAAGTATAAAAGAAAATACTTTTAAGAAATAAAGAAACATGGCTCTTTGTTTTTCCAGGCAGAACATATCTTCTGTTATATGCATCACCCTTAGTAAAAATAGCAGCCAAAACTAAATAGTTAGGTGGGAAACAGGAGTTTTAATAAATAGCCACGCTACCGCAGGATAATGAATTAGAACGTATAAGCCTCCCAGCGGACAGCAGTGAGAGGCAATCCCAGAGAGCACTCATCCTCAGTGCTGGGGATCAGTTAGGGGCGGCCTTGTCAGGGTCAGAGCTGTGGAAATAAACCCTAGGCTAGAAAACCAGAAAGCAGCAGGGCTGGTTCCGCAGGTAAGGTAGGCAAAAAAGGGTCACCAAGACATTGCAGAAAACACAGTGGAGGTTTTTTGTTAATATTATTTTGGGAAAAGGCTATTTGGTACTATTGGATGATGAATTCCATTAAAAGAGTCACCAAAAGGAAAGAGATTTTTGAAAAGCTTCCCATTCCCATTCCAGCTATGGTGGGCCATGCATGTAAACACAATATTTTATAAAGTGTTGGCACCCAGGGATGCTAAGGTAAGTGTCCTTACCCAGGTATAAGGACAGTTAAAAGCAACCAAACAACTCTGACTGACAGCAGAAAAACAGGCTGTATGTCTGGATGGCTGGCAGGGCTTCTTTAAATTTAAGTGTAATAATTCTAACTGAGCTCCATAAATAATAATTCTGTAGAGTCATCTTTCTATGGCATGGATATGTCATGGCATGGAAAAGAAATGAAATATTCAAATTTCATTATGATTTTTTTGAAAACAGGCATTTAAAGTAATTTACAGTGAGGAAATATATTCATCGCTCTCTCTTACTTTACACAGGCTAGTTGGCCAGTGTCTTCATCAAAAGCTTGAAACTGTCCAATGATCCGGCTTAGGCTTGACTCATTCATGCTCTCGCTGATCTAAGATGTAAATTTACTTTGAAAATGTAAACATATCATGCAAACCTAAGGTGTCACTATAAAGGGGGCACACCTCTGTCCCTTCCAGCACAGTGGTGGCATCTAGTTGGTTCTCAATACATGTATCTGAGTAAAGGTCACCATGATAAAAGGTTCATCGATCCTGAACCAAGCATCATGGTTCAAATGAAGAGTAATTTCCAAGATTTATGTGAAAATGAAACTGGTTTCTCCATATTAAAATTCATTAGGCAACTAACTATTTCATTTAACCAAACTGGTATCAAGTGGAATTTGCAATAAATTTGCTACTTTCTTACCTTAAATACTCTTTTAGGAAATAAAACAGATTTTAGAAAGTTTCTCTCTGAACTTTCTTTGTTGTGTTTTAGCTTTCGCTAGCCAGAACTTTTTGAGGCGAGGAACCCAGCCTCTGCCTCACTCAGGTGGTGGAGGGAACGGGGTCTGGGGAAATTTCTCCCTGCCTCTCAGTTGCAGGTACAACTCTGGGAAATGTCATCTATAGGCCTTTGGGGAATCATAATACTGGGTGAAAAGAAATGTTCAAATTTCATTATGATTTTTTTGAAAACAGGCATTGAAAGTAATTTACAGTGAGGAAATATATTCATCGTTCTCTTACTTTACACGGGCTAGTTGGCCAGTGTCTTCATCAAAAGCTTCAAACCGTCCAATGATCCGGCTCAGGCTTGACTCATTCATGCTCTCGCTGGCGCGAATGGACAGTGTGCTGCTTTTAAAATGAATGCCTTCTTTCACATTTTTCACCTTTACTTTGATGGGAATGGATGTAGGCTTGTATTTATTCTTCACTGACTTGTGAAAAGGTGCTTTATTAGTGACAATAATGCTGAAGTCAAGATACTTCATTTCTTCATAATCCAATGCCTAGAAAGGCAAAATCAAAGGGAATTCTTTCAAAAGAAGAAATGACTAGAACACACAAAGAACATACACGCATGCACACATGTGTGATTTTGAAAATGTCAGCATATCATGCAAACCTAAGGTGTCACTGTAAAGGGGGCACAGATGTAGCAATTTCACACATGGGGAAACAGTAGCTCTGAGTATTCCAACTCCTATTGATAACATGCAATTAAAAAGTCTGTCAATTTGGATATTCATAACTGTTAAGAATGATTATGAAACACCCCCAATATGTTCTTTATGAACTGTGGTATTTATAAAGTACACTTGATATAATCAGTTTGTCACTGTATACATAATTTATGTTCCAATTTGACTATTTTCTTTTAAAAAAAAATTTCTATAATTCTATTTAAGTATTCTATTTAGAGATACTTACTTTACATAGCCATTCTATTATCAGGCATTTAGACTATTTGCAGTTTTTAAATAGAAAATTGGTCACTGAAATACCTAGTCGAAGTTTATTAAGTCCTGTTGCTTTTCACTTCTAGTGGCTCTGACCATTTAGATGCACGGACTTGCTGCTTGTTTCTCCAGTATAACAATAAATACATGTGTTGACATGAACTATAGCAAAGCTGTTTGCTTCTGTTTTTGGATGATTTATTATGACATTTGTTTTCCTATTGGTAGAGTTCTGAATGGGTAACAACTTCCCCTGCCCCCTCTTTTATATGGGTCACTATGGTGTTGGAGCAAGAACACAGAAAATGACTAGAGAAAACACTCTTTGTGACTGTAGAATCCTTGTGAGAGGCTTCTTTTTTTTTTTTTTTTTTTTT